TAGACTGCTGACTGACTCCTATCAATAAAAAGTTCACCCATCCATATGTGAAAGATTAAATAAATCACCAAGGAAGTTATTTTGGAAAACTAATTTCAGAAAGTACATGGACCTAACATATTCCAGATCACTGACACAGATCATCTTCATTTTACTTTGCTGGCTAATGACTAACTGGGGGCATTATTTCTTCTGCAGTGTTTGAAGGCCTCCTTCCCTCATGTAGTTTTTCTCGGGTTGAGCCCTCTTTCAAGGAAATACATAACTGTTGGATATGCAGTGGGTTGACTTTGGGGTTCAATTCTAGTGTGTACCATGACACCTTTAGAATCAGCAATGAGAAGGCAACCAGCAATTTTCCAAAAACAAAACACCTCCAACTGCACAAGAAGCCTTGTGCAAAAATAAACAAACAACAACAAAAAACAAACAAAAACCCCTTCATCCCCACATACTAACTAACACAAACATACAGGTAGATAAGAGACTAATAACCAAGTAATCTATCTGTGTTAAGCTGGCTTTCATCCCTGAAACCCTGAACAAGGAAAGACCTGATTATTTGAAAGTTCAGGTCAAAGTTCCCACACAGCCTTTTATTACTTCCTGTGTTCTCTTCCCTATAAAAGTGAGAGCCTTACCCCTCTTATCACATATGACATCTAAACACACACACACACACACACACACACACACACACACACACACACACACACGCGCACACACGCACGCACGCACGCACGCACGTGCACTGAAGTTCACTGGAAAGGCTATATCATATCAGTTCCTTAAAAGTCCCCAGTTACCATGAGCTATGATCCTCCAAAATACGAGGCAGCTACAGACAGAGTTCAATACGGACACAGTATTTTCCTAGGCAGTCAACCCAAATCACACTTCCTGTAATGTCAATAATCACTCATGGTTTTCCAGCACTTTCCTCAGATGTATACAGCAAGTCACATGGAAAAATTCTAGAACAATTCAAAGCCGTTCTCTCTACAGGAAAAAACACCCACAGCTATCCATTTGAAAAAATGTAAACAGCTAGCACAGTTTATACCGTTCTGGAACCCTGACATGCTGTGTCTCATTACTTTATAGACTTCATATACAGAAGAACATAGACGTGCAAAGTCAGTTTTCCCCCTTCAGTAAAAATAAAAATGTTTCCTCTGCTGGACAGCATTTCATTCTAAAACTTCGTCTCATAACCCTAGAATACAGAACAGAAAATGTGAAAAAAAACAATAAAAGCCTTCAAGAAATCACCACAGGAGGAGAGGAGAAAGTCAGAAAAACATACAAAGCACTCAAAGCTGGTCATGTGGAGGATGCCAGGAGAGGGGGAGGGTTTCATGAGTTTCTAGGCAAGCCCTTTGATGACATCACCCCACATACATAATGTTACAGCAGTCAGCACAGGCCTCCTGCTTTCCTATTGGTGAACACCGTGTCAGCCGACATCAGAAGATAATCATCATTGGCCAGACAATTACAACCGGAGCAACTAGCATCCACGGTCATTAGCACCGACCTGGCAGGCTGCAGGCAGGGAGAAGGCACAGCCGGCTTTCCTTCTCAATGAAGTTTATGTCTCCTTTCCAGCCTTTCCGTGGACGACAAGGACAGCTTGGGGGACTCTGCTCCCTAGCCAGCACCATTTACCAACTGAGTCAGCTATTAGTGAGCACAACAGGTAAAGGCCAGGCAGCTCATAAAAGAACAAAATGTTTCTCTGTCGACGCTGTTGACTCAAGGGCCTTTCAGTCTAAAACTGCAACTCAAAATGTTATTTGGAGCCAAAAAGCAGGCATTTTTCTCTACCTCATGTTAGAAAGGGCACCAGATAATATTACTCAGGATATTTTTAATTGGGTAATATTTTCAAGTTATGACATGGGGTGATTTTTCCAGGGGAATACATACTTCCTACTTTGCACTGAAATTGCCATTCCAGTCTATTCTATAGATATGAAACTATTTGTTCCAAAAATAAAGTCTACAATATTTCGTATCTAGGCCAGTAAGTATCAGGCTAAACATTCAAAGCAGCAATAAACCTCATGAGTTTTCTCAGTCCAGCCCTTAAGTTTACACATAAACCACTCTAAAACCTGGGGCCCCAATCTTTGAAGGGATGCTGAGGTAAGCATTATAGGGTGAGTTTTACCAATCCCTTATTTTGAGCCCTCCTAAAGGATGCTAGTTAGTACATTCAGACTACTGCACTGCAAGGCACCATACCTAGCTTCCCCGGTCCCCTACCCCAGTCTTCCGGATGCTCTTGCAGTTCACTCAGGAGAGATACGGTTACAATTAGCAGGCTTTGTTTAGACTAGGTCTAACAGATTTTTAAAAACTGCTACAAATCACTTCTCTAAAGACAGAAGCCTCTCTACCTGTTTTTCCTCCAGAAGCTATTTCAAAGCATTCTAAGTGACCAGGTCAAGTTAAAATGAGCCTTCATGATTTTCCAGCCATCAATGCTCCTCTCTAAGTCTTTATAACAGCACTCTCTCCTCAGGACATGAGAAAAAAATCATTTTGTTCAAGACGTTCTGGTTCTTGGGGGTTCTCTTGAGCAGGTGGAAGAGGCTTCGAAGGAAAACTAGTGAGGTAGAAGGGGAAAGCGATGAGGATCAGCAAAGAAGGGCATACATTCTATATAGTGTGACTAGAGAGCAGGGTTCAAAACCCAAAAAGGCAAGCATGCTCCAGGCGGCATGGATACTATGGGCAGGTACTGCTGGCGGCAAAATGCGCATTTTCATCACAGGACTTTGCAAGCATCTTCCATGAATAAAGCGCACTGCTAAGTGCTTTGCAGAATGGGGGATGGGGGGTGGGCAGAACCTTGCCCTCATTGGCCCATGATTGTCTACTAGAAGCCACAGGCACATATGTAAATAGCCACCTCTTTAAAAAAAAAAAAAAAAAAAAAAAAAGACAGGAAAAAGGGACTGTTCAAGAGCTAAGAAACATCAGTCAGATTAACAGCAGAAAAGAAACTGTTGATGTGGGTCATTTTCAATCCCAAGAGGGCTAAGGACCTGTCCGGTTCTGACAAGAGTGGCTGTCACTTATTGGGTGTCCACAGAAAGAGGCGGGAAATGGCCCTGGGGCCGGCACAGGAAGTAGCCTGGGGCGGGGGCGGGGAGGGGGCAACAAATAGAGACAGTATTCACCACGGTGGTGCAAGAAAGGTCGGACAGTGAGTGCCATGCTCCTGCAAAGGCTGGGATTTCTGAAAGGCAGGCCCAAGTAGGATGCAGCAAGCGAGTGCTAACACACGTTGGGAAATGGGACCAGCGGGCCACTGGAGGAGGAGGCAGGCAGGCTAGAGCAGAGCCCCAAGGGACGGCGACACACGGCCTTAGAGAATTCTAGGCTAGAAGCCCCAGGCTAAGGAGCTGTTCTCGGGCCACCGCCCCCCCCAAACCCCTGGCGGGAGGAGGAAGTGCACCTCTAGGACCCTTGAACGCCGGCACGAAGGGGCTGGGCTTCTTGCTGCGCCCTGGCCTCCCTAGAGCCGCCCCCTTACGGGGAGATCGAGACTCCCGGGGTGCCGTCACCCTCCAGATCCAGGCCCGCAGCCTCGGCCTCGGCGTCCCGGAGGACGCCAGCGACAGCATCAAGCCAGCTCGGGGGCTCGGGCCTCCGGCGGGCAGCCGCCATGCCGCAGCCCAAGCCGCGCGCCCCGGAGCCAGGCTCCGCCCGGCCGCCGCCGTAAACCGCCCCAAGGGCCCAACTCGCAGGCTGAAGGCCAAGGGTGGGCGCGAAGGGGCGGGAGCCGCGAACCGTGGGCCGGACGGAGGAAATCCATCTCCCGGCCTCCGCCGCCCGCACCCCCGCCGGCTGCTGCCACCACCCGCTCCAGTCCCGGGCGCGCCAGCGTCTCCGGTTTCCCATTGAAGATGAATGGAGGGAGGGAAGGCAGGTCGCGAGCGCCCTCGCACGCGGCAGCGGAACCTCCCCCGAGCCCGGAAGCCCCCCGAGGGCCAGCCACTGCGCAGCCGGGGGATCGCAGGGCTTGCACGGAACGGGGAGGGAAGCGTCTCCACCACAGCCCCGTCTGCGGGGGAAGGAGGGACCTCCCTTGTTAAATATTGCAAGGTGACACTGGATCGCCTCCCACTCAGGGTTTTTTTTTTTTTTTTTTTCAAAAGACTGACAGAGGGAACACAGTAAACAAGATGTTCTCTCAGATTCCAAGTTCTGGGAAAGGACCCCCCCCCCCCCCCCAAGACTGCCTGCCTGGCAAGACCTTCCTAGTACCCAAACTCCGGCCGCTCCGCACTGAGAAGTGTCCAAAAGGCGTTTCCTTTACACAGAAACTTAATAATGGCGTGGCTCCACTTGCTCGGGTTCATTCATTTTTATTGCGGTTTTCATTGTCCCCTCTTCCCCCGATGTCTTTAAGAAACCGGAAAGTAATCGGAGTGGGGAAGGGGTCCTGGACCCCAGGCATCTACAGCTGGGGGCGGCAGTCAGGGGAGGGCAGCGAAGTGAGAGGACTACAAGGAGAAAGGAAGGACACGAGGGATGGGGAGAGGGAGAGGACCAGAGAGAGGTGGGTTGGAGAGGGTTAAAGGCAGCGGAGACCGGGTCCTCCCTCCACTGCCTTGCACGCTCCAGTTGCTGGAGACCAAGCAAAACCCCCAAATCTAGGCGAAAGCCGGGAGACAGCACAGGTGGGGTATCTGGATTGTAGCATGCGTCTGTCTCCCTTGTCCCCCGTATACCATTCCAGGCACACACATTCTATGGTCTACGTTATATAATCTACACAAAGATGCCCGCGTGGTCGCGGCTCAGACAGGGCACCCCCAAACTGCACGCTTCATGCAGCCTCAGACTCCTGCAGACATGAGACTCGAGTACTCCTCGATCTGCTTGCTGGCTGCGGCCGTCAATCCACCGCTCCGCTCACGCTCTCATCGGGAATACCGACATTTATGCACTCCCGGGAACAGTATCACGCGAAAAGCATCACCTACCAGTTTTCCTGCATCCACTGGATGGCTTCATTCTCGTTGAACTGCTTTTCGAATTCATATTCTTGTAAAGTCAACACTGACATGTTCATTGGGGCTGATCTTCGGAGTCGCTACGTGTTCTCTATACAAAATAAAAAAATCTGTAAAGAGCCTTTTATTTTGAGTGCTCTCCTGTCTGCTTCCCCCACCCACCCCCCTAGGTAGTGCCCCGCCGTCAGTCTCCTTGGCGGATCTCTCTCCCGGCCTCTCAGCTACATCCAGGGTTGAGCATTGCCTGCGCCTCGGCTCCCAGCTCCTGGCTCAGGGGCTCTCCTCCCGGCGTCCGCATCCACTGTAGGAGGAAATGAATGCCTTGCGGTCTTAGTGCCCGCACGTTTGTCCATCACGCTTTTTACTCGTCTACAGGGAAATCTCCTCCCCCTCGTGCGATCGGGAAAATTAACCCTTTGCGCGAGAGGGCGCAGAAGAGCAAGACCTCCCCTCGCCCTGGGGGACAGTTTTGTTTACCAAAAGGTGATTGGAGGAGTGGAGGAAGGGCGCCGAGAGGGAGGAAGTAGCCTGGAGGTCATCCACAAGCCCATTCGCAACCTCGTGGGCCGCCCTGTCTGGCCTTTGAATGAAGTTCAGCGTGCAAGGCGCAGCTGGGAGACGCGTGGACCCGAAAGCTGGACGAGTAAACAATTGGGAAATAGTAAAACCTGCCAGGTCTCTCGCATGAGAACTCCTGGCAAATGAACGTGAGGATCACTTTTAAGGCGAGCGCGCCTCCCCGACCCCGCAGCACCCTTTGAGACCACCTTCACCCGACAACTTGGGCGTGTTCTCATTTTGACCGCAGGACCCGGTGGCCCTCGGACCCTTTAGGTCACATGCAAACGACGGGATGCTGAAGATGAGGACCTGGGAAGTCAAGGTTGACTAGGAGGTGGAAGTGGAAGAGCCAAGAAGAGTTAGATGGAGGGTTTGGGTACCTGGGGGCGTGCGGGGGCGGGGGGGGGGTATTAGCGAACAAAGGAGGGAAGGAATTTGAGAATTTGGTATTATTCTACTGGTCTAAAGCCAAAACTTTATCTGTATGCTTTGCTTTATTCTTGTGCACCTAGGAAGTACAGATTAATATAGGAGAGGTGATGAGTATCATGCTGATCCCTCTGAACACGCATCACACAGAAACATCGTTTTAACCTTACCTTTCCTATATACCCCTCTTATTTTCCTGGGACACAGTATTTCCTATTCCTAAAAGAGCGAACGAAGTGAGAGACAATGAAGTACCTAGTAATATAATATTTGGATCCAACCATAAACAAAAGGTAGTGATCAGCAACCTATTAGTTTAATTTTTTAATGTTTTTGGTTTTTCGAGACAGGATTTCTCTTTGTGGCCCTGCTGTCGTGAAACTTGCTCAGTAGTCCAGACTGGCTTTGAACTCAGAAATCCGCTTGCCTCTGCCTCGGGAGTTCAGGGATTAAAGGCATGCGCCACCATGGCCCAGCTAACAACCTATTAATATCTTCTGTGATGTGCATTTCCTCACCTACCAACTAGTGGGAAGAGAAGGCTCTTCATCCAAATGTAGAATAGAAACTTCTAGCCTTTGAAAGAGGGAACTGGAAGAAAAATCTCTGTAAATAAGGAAGGTATTTTTTTAACCAGATTTTTTTTTTTTTTTTTTTTTTTGGTTTGGCCTCGAATTCACAGAGATCCGCCTGCCTCTGCCTCCCGAATGCTGGGATTAAAGGCGTGTGCCACCACCGCCCAGCAGGACCTCTGGAAGAGTAGTCAGTGCTCTTATCCTCTGAAACATCTCTCCAGCCCGGAAGGTATTTAAAAAAAAAAAAAAAAAAAAAAAAGAAAGAAAGCTGGGTGGTGGTGCACGCCTTTAATCCCAGCACCCAGGAGGCAGAGGCAAGAGGATCTCTGTGGGTTCCACGCCAGCCTGATCTACAGAGCAGTTCCAAGGCAGCCAGGGCTACACAGAAATTCTGTCTCAAAAACAACAGCAAAAAGAGTTGGTCTCTCCTTGCCAATTATCTCAGCGTGACATTGGAGGCTGAGGCAAGAAGATTGGTGCAATTTAAGGTCAGTCTGTGCCTCAGAGTGACACCCCTCCCCGTCTCAAAAAAAAAAAGGAAGAAGAAGGGAAAAAGCTAGGTGTTGTGGAGCATACCCTTACTCCCCAATACTCTCTGGAGTCAGAGGCACATGGGTCTTCGTGAGTTTGAGACTAGCCTGGTCTAATAATGAGTTCCGGGTCAGGTCAGCCAGGGATACAGAGTGAGACCTTGTCTTTCAAAAAAACAAAACAAAATAATGATTTTTTTTTTTTTTAATGTGCAAGGTGGGGTTGGGAAAATGGCTCAGCATGAGGACCTGAGTTCAGATTCCCAGATCCTACAAAAAGCTGACCAGAGTAGCATGTACCTGTAAGGCTACCCTTGGCAGCTGAGAGAGGAGGATTCTGGTACTTGCTTGGCCAGCCAGCCAAGCTTAAAGTGGGAGCTTGAAGATCAGTAAGAGATCTGTCTCTAAAAGGACAATGGAGAAGTCTTGAAGAATGATATCCTTGAGTCAACCTCTGGCCTCCACATGCACCTGCTCATCTGCATAGGGAAGCAGCCCCACCTACACACACACACACACACACACACTTTTTTTTATTAAAAAAATAAGGCCTGCATGCTTATAGTTCCAACATTTGGAAAGTAGAAGCAGGAGAATCAGGAGTTCAAGGTCATCTTTGGCTAAGTAGCAAACTCCAGGCTATTTTGGGCCATATGAGACCCTACCCCCAACACTCCCCCCCAAAAAAATAAATAAAGAGTTTAAATCCAGTAGAGTTCTACATCAATCATAGGGTTAGACTAGTTAGTGATTAGCATTAATATGTAAAGTGACACTCCCAAAGATTCCATGTGTAGATTTTGCTTATCTCTTCGGGTAGAGATTGTCCTTCTGGAGTGCTATGTCATGTCAGTCCCAGTGACTTTGAAAGTAAAGCCTGAGCCAAAACACATGGCAAAATTAGGCTGAAAGGTGGGAGTAGCTAATAAAAAAAAGACTTTAGCATAATGCTTGGGCCTGTGAGCAATCATGCAAGTGTGTGAAGTGAAAGAATGATTGATTTAAGTGATAAGACCAGAAGGGTGGGGAAAGGAATGGGAGCCAACCTTGGCAACCTTCACTTGTAATCCCAGCCCCAGGGAAGCAGAGGCAAGATCCCTGCTGGTTGGAGCCAGCTTGGGCTACATGGAGAATGTCAGACCAGCAAGGCTTACATAATGCAGTGGTTTGAACAAGAATGTCCCCATAGGTTTAGCCATTTGAATACTTAATTTGGTCCCCAGTTGGTGGTGCTGCTTAGGGAATTTGAGGAGGCATGGGGGAAGTGTGCCACTGGAGAGTTTAAGGATTTCTGTGCCCTTTCAAGTTCTCTTTGCCTTCTGCTTGAGTTGGATGATGTGAACTCGGCTGCCAGCAGCTGCCTGCTGCCATTTTGATTTTCTAGAGCAGAAATACAGATTTCTGTATTAAACAGTGTACTGTGCAGAACCGGGAGTACCAGTGTCAACCCAGAAGGCCTCACTGAGAAAAGAACTTGGAGCTGAGACTTCACTAACATAGAGCCCACTTATCTCACAGAGATCGAGTGCAAAAGCCCTGAAGTCCAAAGTGAGTTTGCGCCGGGCCGTGGTGGCGCACGCCTTGCCTTTAATCCCAGCACTCGGGAGGCAGAGCCAGGCTGATCTCTGTTGAGTTCGAGGCCAGCCTGGTCTACAGAGCGAGTTCCAGGAAAGGCACAAAGCTACACAGAGAAACCCTGTCTCGAAAAACCAAAAAAAAAAAAGATCTGGTATTGTTTTAATTTTTGTTTTTAGACTGGTATAATTCAAGTGCCCAAACTTGCCTTGAAATTATGATCCTCCTAACCAGGTGGTGATGACACACACCTCCATGGCCAGCTTGGTCTACATAGAGAGTTCCAGGACAGCCAGAGCTACATAGAGAAACTCTAGAAAAACAATTAACAAGCCGGGCAGTGGTGGCCCACACCTTTAGTCCCAGCACTCGGGAGGCAGATCCAGATGGATCTCTATGAGTTCAAGGCCAGCCTAGTCTACAGAGGAGTGAGATCCAGGATAGGCATTAAAGCTACACAGAGAAACCCTGTCTCGAAAAAAAAAAAAATTGTATATTGAACTTGGTGATGGTAGTGCATGCCTTTAATCCCAGTAGGAGGTAGAGGCAGGCAGATCTCTGCGTTCAAGGCCAGCCTGGTCTACAGAGCAAATTCCAGGACAGCCAAGTCTACACAGAGCAACTCTGTCTCGAAAAACAAAAAACACTAACAAACAAAAAAATGTTAAACTTTGCTATTATTGTCGAGCGTACGTTCACGGTGGGTGTGTGTGTGCGCGTGCGTGCATAGCTGTGCCTTGGTAGGTGTGTGGAGGTCAGCTTTGTGGACTCAGTTCCTTCTACCTTTACCTGGGTTCCAGGAACTGAAGTTGGGTGGTCAGGCTGGAATAATGAATGCCTTTACCCACGGAGCCATCCTGACAACCTGTGGACTTGTTCTGAAAGACAGATTCACACACACACACACACACACAAAACTGTTCCACAGAGGATTTAGAATTTAGTGTCATCCTGATTACAGACCTAGCTTTCTGACCTTAGAGAAAATTAAATGGATTCTTTAATTTCCATCCCTGTGCATAGAACAGCAGATTGTAGATTTGTAGAGGGATGGTGTTGATGCTAGCCCAGAGTTTGTCTAGCATACACATGCATTTTAATGGACATACATTGCTTCTGGGAACCTCTAACGGTGACTTAATTTTTTTTTTTTTTTAGACTGTTTTCTTTAAACCAAGCTGGACCACTTGACGTCTATCCCTGAGCATCAAAGGCTTTGCCTCCTTTGTGAGTTTTCTTCCCTGGCAGCCTCTGCTTGGAATCCCCTTCCCTCCCAACTCCACCTCCCACTTCTGCCTGTAAATTCAGTCCACTTTGTGGGTTCCTATGAGGTACCCTCTACTTAATGCCTTTTCTGTTCTTTCTTTTGTCTCCTAAACTTTTGAAAACTTTGTTGGCATGGCTCTCCCTGACCAGAGTCCAGTTGTCATGGCTCTTAGCTCACCTGTCCCGTGTAGTACATTAGAGATAATGACTTTCTGATTGGGATATTCTCTAAAGATGCCACGACAGTTTTCTATGGCCAAGCTAAACAATAGCAGAAAGAAATTAGCCAAAGAGGGCTGGAGAGATGGCTCACTCAGAGGTTAAGAGCACTGTCTGCTCTTCCAGAGGTCCTGAGTTCAATTCCCAGCAACCACATGGTGGCTCACAACTGATGCCCTCTTCTGGCGTACGGCAGACTTACAGAAAGAATACTGTTT